CCACCTCTGGCATGTAGGGCCAGCGTCCTACTCCTTTGAGCCACAGGCGCTGCCCTGTAGTAATCTTTAATGTACCAAAGATTTCACATCCTCTATCCTGCATACCTACACAGTGGTGGCCTTTCTATACGCTTGCCCATCCCCCAGCAACTGATGCTTGTTACTAGCTGCTTGCTAGGCTGGGTACTGGGGGAGGGGTAAAGGGGTTCTTTGTTGTTCTTCAATTCAGCTTCAGGCTTTAGTCACTCTGGTGCCTGGACCTTAGGAATGGATCTTTTTCTCAGCATCCTTGCCCCTGAAAACTGGGTGAGATTAAAAGTGAGCGTAGAGAAAAAACAAATATAATAGGAAGATAGGAAAGAACTAGCAAAGAATAGGGAAGAAAAGTTTCCAGTGAAGTAGATGGAAAACCAGGTGTGTGTGTGTTCTGAAACCAAGTAAAGACTTTCAAGAAGTGAGCTCAGGGCAGCACTTGTGGCTCAAAGGAGTATGGTGCTGGCCCCATATGCTGGAGGTGGAGGGTTCAAACCCAGCACCGGCCAAAAAAAAGGGGGGGGGGAGCTCAATTGTCAGATGCTAATGAAAATATCACACAGCTAAAGAGAGAATTGTTGGTGATCTTGACAAGAGTATCTTTGACCAAGTGATGGGAGTGAGGACTTAACTGGAATAGGTTAAGGTGAGAATGCGAGGAGGAACTGGAAAAGCATTAGGAATTTCTCTGCAAAGAGAGTAAGAGTGGAAAAATGGGGTGGTGCTGAGGAAGTCAATTTTTTTTTTTTTAAGATGAGAGAAATGATAACATGGCTGCTGAAAAGAAGGGGAAAATTCCTGGTGCATTATCTGTAAAGAGGATGAGAATTAGTGTTAAGAGGTGGGGCTGCTACTTAGGAGTCTGAAGCAGGAGGACCACTTGAGGTCAGGAATTCAAGACCAAGCTGGACAACATAGCCAGACCCCATTAAAAAAAATTAGCCAGGCATGGTGGTACATGTCTGCAGCCCTAGCTATTTGGGAGGCTTAAGTGAGAGGGTTCCTTGAGCCCATGAATTTGAGACTGCAGTGAGCTATAATTGTATTACTGCACTCCAGCCTGGGTAACAGATCAAGACCTTGTTTCTAAAAAAAAAAAAAAAAGAAAAAAAAAAGGTGGGCCTGGCTTCAAATAGGAGTATGAATAATTTATCTACAGGAACAGGAGGGAAAGAAGGTTATGAAAGAAGAAGTTATGAAGGTATAGATTAATAAGAGTCAAATGTAGGGATCTGCCCAAATAGAACCATCCTTCCCAGGAAGAAATGAGTACCATGAATGTCCTACCCAGGAAAGAGTGAATATACCAACTCCTACCCCTCTGACCACGTGCTGACTCCTTTAAATTCCCATCCACCTTAACCCACGTGCTGACTCCTTTCTCAGACTCTGCTCACTCACACCCAAGTGGAAATAAGGGCCACATTTCCCACATAGAACCTGGACTCTGGTTTGCTTTCATTCATGTTTCCAAGTAATTTTTGGTTTCCAAGTTTGGTTTGGTTTCCAAGTTATTTTTGGTCCTTGACCTCTCACAGATGAAGATGGTTGAGTGGCCACTGTGGAGGTTAGGCCATTTTGTGTATTTCAAAGGGTATCTTTTATTTATTTATTTTTGAGACAGTCTCACTATGTCGCCATTGGTAGAGTGCCGTGGTGCCACAGCTCACAGCAACTTCAAACTCTTGGGCTTAAGTGATTCTCTTGCCTCAGCCTCCCAAGTAGCTAGGACTACAGACACCCGCCACAACACCTGGATATTTTTTTGTTGTAATTGTCATTGTTGTTTGGCAGGCCCGGGCTGGGTTTGAACCCAGCAGCTCTAGTGTACGTGGCTGACACCCTAGCTGCTGAGCTAAAGGTGCCGAGCCTCAAAGGATATCTTAAGAAGCAACCACCCTCGATCAAAGCTGTTAGAGGTCTATGACAACATTTATATAATGATTCTGAGAACATGTATGTAAGGAACTGAAAGCAACATCTACTCATATGTTATAACAAACAAACCTGCTATGAGGTTTTAGCATAGTTCACTTAAAGATTAACAGAAGAGGCTCGGCGCCTATAGCTCAACCGGCTAAGGTGCCAGCCATGTACACCTAAGGTGGCAGGTTCGAATCCCCAGCCTGGACCCGCCAAACAACAATGACGGCTGCAACCAAAAAAAAAATAGCCGGGCGTTGTGGCAGGCGTGTGTGGTCCCAGCTACTTGGGAGGCGGAGGCAGGAGACTCGCTTGAGCCCAGGAGTTGGAGGTTGCTGTGAGCTGTAATGCCACGGCACTCTGCCCAGGGGGACAGCTTGAGGCTCTGTCTCAAAAAAAAAAAAAAAAAAAAAAAAATTAACAGAAGAAGGGAACTTGCCCCACTGATACTTACATCAATTTTCTTAATTACACCCATCTTTTGGCTGAGCCAGGCTATGTATAACTCAACTTCATGAAACCAAAGAAAAGACACACCCAAGCTTTGTCTGCTTTATTTCACTACATTAAGTTAAGCAATAAGGCAAAACAGTAACCTGTCATTCATAAAGATCAAGGAGTGCCTTCCATTCCCAAAATGGACCAAAAAGGATATTTCTTCACAAATAACACTTGACATTTAGCTCATTATGCCTATAAGCACTTTAAACAAAAAGAAAACATTAGTGGGTGAATCAAATCACAAATCCAAATTAACTTAAGCCTTAAGTTTCCAAAATTGTAGTTTCTAGTGCTAACAGCATCTAACTCTCTACGGTGGTGCACACTGACTAGCATTAAAATTCTTGCACCTGATTTAATATAAAAAAGGCAACAAATATAGTCCCCAATTCACCAGCTGCAGGTGTTGAACCATTTCTATGAATACACAGACTCCCAGCTTGCACTAAAACCTTGTTTGAGGAAACATTAAACCAATGTTTAATGGTTTAATAGCTCTGTTACTCTGCAAGTTAATTTGGCTTCTGAAGAAAAAAAAATTTCTATGATCAAAAGTGTTTTTGTGTTTCTGTGTCATGTGAGAGCAATAAGACCCATTACTTCAACATTATTACTTTTGGGAACAAATATCAGCTACATGCCATAAATGCATGACATACAACTGTGTGTAGCCTACGCTCACGTGTAAACATACGAAGCTATTCTCTACTTTGACGCTCATTTCCTCCACTGGAAAATATGGAACAGCAGGTTCACAGTAGGCTCTATCTAGCAGGTAGTGAAATAAAATTTGACACTCTGGGCGGGGGGGTGGATCACAGAAACTTAAAAAACTATTTCTATTATGTGCAAACTTGTAATCAGCCCCTGCCCCAGCTCCTAAGAGGCTAAACCTTGTTAATTACCATAGTTTGATGAGTGTTTTTTTTTCTTACACTGCAGCATATATATTACTCTGTGGGAATATTGTTTCATAAAATTGGCTTGACCTTTACAATACACTTTAGTGTTTTTCAAAAGCTTCCTAAATATTTTTATCTTTCAAGGGAGCTGACAAGGACTATGTCCTGTCTGTATTCTAGATTACAAAATACCTTATTTTTTCTTTTTTGTAGAATAAAGACTTAAAGCAAAACCAGGATAAACAGGAAATTTCTATTTTCAAAAGTCCCTTGGCCACTAACAATACTTTTTACAGAAACATGGTATAGCTGGTGGTCTACTTTGTCAATTGTCACTTTAGAAAACATCCCAGAAATTGTGATTAGCAACCCAACTCCTAGACACCATGTGAAAACAGCATGTCTGCTGGTAGGCCAGCATTCTGGGCTACTTGCTGACCTATTCTATGGTTTACAATCAAAATGGTCTTATCTGACTCACCATATGACAGGGGAAAAGTTCTTTTAATATCCAGTTTCGGATTCGAGAGATTGTAACAGTTAACTTCCCCTTCAAATCAGTGGAAAGAACGTTAGTTCAGAGCATGCTAAAAATCTAGCATTAGAAAAAAAAATTAAAAAAAAAATCTAGCATTTTAAAATCTTTTCTGCATTCCAGAAGCGAATACATTCACTTAGGTTTTCTCTGGGCTCTTCCCAGGTCCCAAATACTCAGGACAACTTACTGAGTTAAAGAGGCAGAGAAGAGGAGAAGGGGTAGAAAGTAAGACAAAGATTGCCCCCGTGGCAGCATAATCCCTGGATATTGTGGCAATAGTTAAATGAATGGAATTTGCTACCCCCTTGCATGACATGTAATTGCCTGCTTCTCAAATTCTTCTTAAATGAAAAAGTTCCATAGTCTAGTGGGAAAGAATTTAAGAGCAACTAATAAATGTCCTATACATATTCACTCAGAAGAGAGCAAATGAAAGCGCCTTAAGAATTTCACAGGTTTTTCCAATCACACAGCTAAAGACACTATGACAATCCTACACTTCTGTCAAATGGAAATACATGGCGAAATGGAAGTCATGAGGCAAGTGAAGGGATATGTTTTAGATTGCTTAGATTATACTTAATAGCAGAGAGCAGTTGGTACATTGAGACCAATGCTGGATCATTAATAGCAGATCCACCTTTGGGTTATTTTTAAGTTTCTTCTGTGAGACTGTGATCCTTTGAGAGATCAGATTAAGAGTAGTATTGTCAGTTTCTCAGGTGATGAATCTAATGCCACTCCAAGGAACAGCCATTCCCTTTCCTGGGATGGAACTATACTGTTGTTATTCAACGTGCAGGGCTCAGTGAGGGAGACACAGACTTACCAGTGTCACCAGAGGTGACAACAAGAGGAGCACAGCAATTACCCTGTGTTCCTAATGTCTGGCCTCTCCTCCCACTTTCCTAGGAACAGGATTCAGTAGTGCATGGGTACATTGTTATAAACAAGGCCTAAGTGGCTTCCACATTTTCACACAGGTTTATGGTAACACTGTCCTTTGGGATCTGCCTGGCAGTGAAACCTTTCAAGGGAGAAGTGGGCCCAGGCTGAGTTCCACATGCTGGGTGAGCCAGATGACTTCTGTGCCCTGGTCACTTTCTTCAATGGGGCGGATGGGAGCTGCCAGGTTTTTAAAATCATGCTTCATCTTAAAGCACACGGTCACTTCGCCTTCCTCATGTTGTGGGGTAACTTTGATGAAAATACCCACTTTGTTGGCCTTTCTGAAGGCTATAATGCTATGGGAAGGAAAAAAGCGCAGTTTTAGATCAAAAGCCAGCCAAACCACTAAGATTTACAGTTAAAAATCTATCCCCTTATTCTTCCCATCAGCATACAGAGAAAAACTGTAAATCCTATGGTTCCTAACCTACCAGATATTTTTCTATGAGTTCATATTTTTATGCCTTTTTAAGCTACACAAATGGAATATAATGTTCTGTAACCTTTTTTCACTCTGTTTACTAAAAACATCTTTCCACATTGGTGTACACAGATTATCTACATTGCATGTAACAGTATTCAGTATTCAAATCACATATTTCCCATAATTGGTATCCAGGGATGCCTAACCTTTTATTTCTCTGTCACACATTGAAAGACTAAGAGTTATCTTGTGCCACACATCAAATACGCAAATATTAATGATGGCTGATGAGCAAAAGAAAAGGTCCATGCATACCTTTCTTGATATCGGACACCACAGATAAGCAAAACTATCCTCAAGTTGTCTGAATGTGGCCTGTGGATTATTGTACATAAAGGCTATTGGCCAATTTTTTTTATCACTTGCCTTTATCTTTGTGCAGATGTGGTAGTATTTTTTGTCAAGATACATGTATAAATGACACCATGGAAAGTTTTAATAACTCAAAGCTTTGAGAGAATTTCTGGAACACCACAAATCAGTGTTTTTGTAAATAACTTATGTAAATTAGAGATTTTTAGTGTAGAAAAATCTTTTCAATTGGGGTTTCTATTTGTTTTCTCTAGTATGCCTTGAAGTTTGTGCTTTAACAACATAGCTTCGAAAAGTAAAAGGGCAATGAGATAAACAGAATTTGATCTACTATCCAAATGATACTCAGTTACTCTAAGAAAAGTTACTAGAATTACACATTAACATTTTATACAGTGTTAATTTTCAGAAATCTGAAAGTTCTATAACACAAAACAACGTGAAATATAATTAAATCAGCTTTAAACTATCAGGTAATTAGACTGAAAAATTTTTTTAATTATTATTATTTTTTATTTTTCTTACATATACATGTGTATATTAGGTTTCCACTTTTGCCTTCACAGAATTAAAAGGCTAAATTTAATGACAATAATAATATTTATCATAAGGACTGAGTGATAAATATTATGATAAATAATATTTATCATAAGGACTGAGTGAAGTCCTTATGCTGTATCATAAGGACTTCACTCATAAAGAATGAAAGAAGATAAATACATTCAGAAAAAAAATCAGATGATTGCTGCAATAAATAATAGTAATAATGCAAAGAAAGTAACATTCACATTGTCAGATAGAAGTATGTCTATTATAGAATACTTTGATCAGTTAACTTATTTTGTTTTTTCCAAAGTCTCAAAAAAAATAGACAACTAATATTTATAAATAAAAGATAATTTCAAAAAAAACAGATCATACCAAATCTTACAGACAATAGAAAAAGAAATACTTCAAAATCATTCTACTTAATCTGGATACACCTGATATTAAAATTGGAGAAAATATATTATTGTAAAAGGGAAATTACAAATATATTTCACTTATAAATGAGGATGCTAAACAACATATTAACATGTTGAATTAAAAATTAATGTTTTAGACTGAAATTTGATATCTCAGATGATCTTCCTAGCAGTTTACCTTGGCCTAACAAATTTCTATACTTAATTAATGTAATTTTAAGGACCCATATAAAGCAAGGATTTCTGAGAAAACATTTTGTATTGTACTAACTCACTACATTTTGTATTATATAACCGAACTCTTGATTTATATGAGTCACGTTAAAAAAATTCAAACACTATTACTATTCAAAAAAATAGTAAAACGATCCTTTTTGCTATAATCCTGGGGTGAGGGGAAGTAAAAAGAGAGAACTAAGTCTTTTTTATACTTAATTTCCCAGGCAACCACTGACATTTTGTAAGCTTTTTTAAAAACAAATTCAGATTTCTGGTTATCAGGTAGGCCTGCTAAAAAGATCCTCTGGGGGTGGGGTCTGGAATGCTATAGAATAAAAAATCACAACACAACACAATACCTGACTTGGGGCTTTCTGAAATTAACTCAAGTTTTATCATTACTGCATTAATCTTACCTTAGTCTTCACTTTATTTTTCTAACCCATCCCATGGTATGTCTCTCTCCAATATCTTGCTGAAGGAGACATTTGATCATTTAAGTGTTCCTTGTGCTAGTTTATTAAGCTATTGTTTTTCAGCTCCAAGCCCACGCTTCTGTATCATGCTTTGTGACATGATTCTGATAAATCCGCTTCTGCTTTGTAGGCTGGCTCCCTGTCAGGTTCTATCAATAGCTAAAGGGAGACTAGAAGCCTAGGGAAAGAAGAGTTTTACTCTCTTAACACAGTCACATCCCCAAAGGGTAGGGCCAGGGAATAGCCCACACTGATTTGTTCCCCCAGTACATTTGTTTATGCAGGACAACAAAACATACAAAAACAAAACATTGGTGAGGTCAGTCCCTGAACCCCCATTGGTGTGTGACTTGTGAAGCTTCCTATTTGCTTGTGATTTCTGAGGGCATTACTCCAGCAATGGTTCTTTACCCAGGAAGTGGTATTTCTACAGGAAAACTTATTTAAGTAAAAAACAAAGGCTAAAAAACTGTGTTTACAGAATGATCCCCCAAATGGAAGAAATATCTGGAAGGACAAATGCAAAATGTTAAGGATTGCTTATCTCTGGTAGTTGGCTAATTTTATTTTCTTCATGGTTTCACATAAACTTCCCAAACTTTTGACAATAATTATTTTTAGAAACAGAAAGAAAAAAAAAAAAGAAACAGAAAGAAAAAAGTTATTTTAGGGTGGCACCTGTGGCTCAAAGGAGTAGGGCACAAGCCCCATATGCCAGAGGCGGCGGGTTCAAACCCAGCCCTGGCCAAATACTGCCAAAAAAAAAAAAGTTATTTTAAAAAGTCCAGATAAGAGTGGCACCTGTGGCTCAAAGGAGTATGGTGCAGGCCCCATGTAGTGGAGGTACCGGGTTCAAATGCTGCCTGCCCCCAAACTGCAAAATAAATAAATAAATAAATAAATAAAAATAAAAAGTCCAGATAAGAAAACTGGGATATAAGTAGGCATTTTCTATTAGCCAAATGTGGTATGGGGGAATCACAAAAAGCTTACTCACTCGGGATCATCCTGAAAGTCTTGGGGTTCTGCCAACTCATCATACTCTGCAGCTGCATCCTTACCAGCTAAAACCAGCTCTTTGGGAGGTACCACCACCTGGAGAGCAATACACAGAGACCTGTCTTAGGAGTCGGCATGTTGTAGGACATTTATTCAATGGAACATAGCAAAGCATTACACTGATCAGGACATATGGAAGCAAGCAGAAAGTTTCAGGAAATATACAGCATTATACCATTATACTACTAATATAGTGTTTTATATACTGTTTGAAAACACTGCCTAGGGCTAGGTGCAATGGCTCATGCCTGTAATCCTAGCACTCTGGGAGGCTGAGGCAGGCAGATTGCTTGAGCTCAGGAATTCGAGACCAGCCTGAACAAAACCAAGATCCCACCTCTAAAAAACAGAAAATTTGCCAGATGTCATGGCAGATGCCTGCAGTCCTAGCTACTCGGCAGCTGAGGCAGGAGGATTGCTTGAACCCAGGAGTCTGAGGTTGCTGTGAGCTGGGCTAATACCATGGTACTCTAGCCTGGGGCAACAGAGTTAGACTGTTTCAAAAACAACCCACCCCAATAATGTTTAGGATTAAAGACATTTCTAGTAAAAGATCAAAGAAATTAAGGGAAATAATAAAGTTAAGTGAGTGCTTACTTCTTTGGGGCTTCAATTATGTCTTTAAGGTTTTATTACATAAGGGGATGGAGTGTACCTGAGTATGTGCTTTATTACTTAAAGGGACAGAGAATACATGAGATCACCCTGGTGGCAATAAAGAAGGGGTGAAATGGAGATGGTGGTGTATTCTTTATACAGGGTGTCCCAAAAGTTGCCCCTAAAGTTGCCATACATAGAGAAAATGGGAAATGGTAGCTAAATGTACCATAAAGGTACAAAATATTCATTACAAAATTTTATTTTTATTTATTTATTTTTTGAGACAGAGTTTCACTATATTGCCCTGGTAGAGTGCCGTGGTGTCACAGCTCATAGCAACCTCCAACTCTTGGGCTTAAGTGATTCTCTTGCCTCAGCCTCCCAAGAAGCTGGGACTACAGGTGCCCGCCACAACACCTGGCTATTTTTTGTGGTGCTGTTGTTGTAGCTGTCATTGTTGTTTGGCAGGCCAGGGCTGGGTTTGAACCCACCAGCCCCAGTGCATGTGGCCGGTGCCCTAGCCGCTGAGCTACAAGTGCTGAGCCTATTACAAAATTTTATAAAGTATTTACAAAATATTCTCTATGTGTTGGCCACCTCTTTGTAAAATTATGTAAAAATGAATATTTTGTAAATAAAAGTATATTTAGCTACAATTTCCCATTTTCCCTATGTATGGCAATTTTAGAGACACCCTGTAATTTCTGATATATCTGAAACAGCTCATCAGTTTTTTGTTTTTTTTTT